AAACCAATCGATAATTGCAATTCCTAAATAAATTGTTTGTGTCATTAGAAATTGCAATGCAATATAGCATAATTCTCAAGGCCTTATCGAATTACACACATGCAAACCTTCAATAATCACTTTAATCTCAATAATCAATCAACACAATTCCCAAATTAATGATAATTAATCAATCATACAAGTTTCGCCCAATTCCTAGCCAAACAACTATTCAAGAATCATCATCTATCAACTAACAACTATGGAAATCAAGAATCAACAATATATCAAGAACAACTACACTAATCAAGCATCAAACTTCAAAATTAAACCAAACAAACATGAAATTAAACAAAGTAATAAGGTGAGATAGAGTTAAGAATGCTCATTGATAATGGAGAAAATCTTCAACACAATTGTCACCCTTGTAATCTTCAATCTCTCAATCACCATTGAAATCCTTCACTTTCTATCTCTAAAACTACTCTTAATCTAGAGAGAGGAACTCCTAATCTATCCTAATCCTCCTTAGAGGAGAGAGAAACTATTCTAATCAAAAGAATTTCATGTATGAAGAATAAAGAAGGTCGTACAATATATATACAAAAGGAAAAAATAATGAAATCGCAAGTTAAACCCAGAAACCCGTGCCCGCGAAGGAAGAAACCCCCAAGCTCGCGCCCGCGGATGGAACCTGCGCCCTCGGGAAGTTTCCCCCTCGATTTGGGCAGTTTTGGACTGCAGCAACCCGCGCCCGCAGCGGCAGACCCCGTGCCCGCGGCAACAGGGCCGCGCGCCCGCGGCCAGCCCACGGCTGTGCTGTTGGGTGTGCGGCCGAGCTGCTGGGTACGTGGTTCCTCGTGCTGCACGCAAGAGTGCTCGGGCTGCTACGCTGCTAGGAGCTCGAGCTCGCTTCCTTGACGCTCGGAATCCCAACCTCGGAACTCGAGCTTGCTTGGATTGGCTTTACTTGCGTGCTTGGCTTCCCTAACTTGGCTCTGTTAAATTCCTTGAATGCACTTTAGTTCCCTCCTTGATATTAAATCCGCGGGAACTCAACATACCTACAAAACAAGACAAAGAAACAGAGAAGTGAGAGAAATAGCCAAGAAATGAATTAAATAATAAAAAAAACCATTAAAAAGCACGCATTTCTCTAAACTATCACACAAACACGCAAGTCAAGCATTATTCCCTAAAAACACGACATAAATGACTAAAAACGAGCATGAAAATATAAAGAAAACATAGCCTAAAGGTGTCATAAATGGCACGGATCAATGACATCTATTAGCGTCAGGCGACAACCTTGTCGTCTTGCGCTAAGTCAGAAATCAAACGCGCTTTGTACGCGGAATCCTCTTCTTAATATGATTAAGCAGCAAATTATGTGTTTATCAAATTAAAATCAGGTTTGTGATAAATCACTTATTTTATTCCAAATAAAACTCTTTAAAATATAATTATCAATCCTAATCTCATTAGAATTTAAAAGAACCTTCTAGATTATTCTAGAAGATGAAAATCAATCCTAATAACTTTAGAAATAATAATAATTAATAGGCCCTCCTCTAGATCATTGGGTCACATATAGAATTCATTTCGGGCCAAATTTAATTTAGGCCACAACTTCCTCATTATTCATCGGAATTGGGCTTATAATATATCGTTGGAAAGCTCTATTCTAGCCCAATCCAACTACACTATTATTGGACCCTTATCATGGACCAAACTAAAATGGGCTGGCTATTTTCATAAATAGAGTGTAAGAAGAAATATTTTCAAAAACAACAAGAGAGATATTTTAATAAAAACAACCATATCACTAGACTTTTCACACTTTCACTTCGTTCGATAATCAAATGACGTGAATGATATTCATCACTGGGTTTGGTTTTGGGGAGACACATTTAGGTGTCTACAGTATGGAAGTAAAACCGCTTCTATGAGGATGAGGGTACATTCTCTAAAGACACTTATGAATACCGAGATGGTGCAGATGGCCAAAAACACGCAAACCTAGAAGCTTTAAAATACCTAAGGTATCATGTGTGTGAAGTTTCCAACGTGTCATTAAGTAGTTGAAGTTTCTAGGTCGTGCCACTTTGACTCTAGTACGTGGTAAACTGAAACACTAATTAGAGGTTTCAATGAAGCCAACTCTATTATGCATGGTATATTGTGACGTTTATACAAGTAAGATATTTTTTGTTATAATAAGTGGGGGATTGTTGGATAGTTTAAATAAAAATAATTAGTATTATTCGATTTTAATTTAATGTGTTCAAGTATTAAATTTAAAATATAAATCTTCATTTTAAATTATTTTATTATTTGCATATATTATGAGATTTGTAACTCCTAATATTAATTTGAAGGTTACTAAATCATTAAGTAGTTTGATTTTCAAAAATAACACTTTTGATTTTCTACAATCAATTTTAACGTTACATTGTTGACTTGTGATGGTCTCCTTGTTATTTGGTTTTAATTACAACATATTGAAGAGGAGTTTTTAAGGGAAATATTCAATGACAAAAGTTAACGTTTGATTGGGGGGTTATATAAGCAAATTGCTTGGAGTTGGTAGTAAGTTACTGCAGTGTGTAATGTACACATATAATTAGTGATGGCTGATTTTGTACTTTTCAAGGGTCTCTTTAATATGTCCTTCGAATTCCAAAACATTGTCGGAGATAATATCACAAGGTATCTGATACCGACATTTGATGTTATTAATCACAAATTTTGAGACTTGTTTTGCTCCTAATTTTGAATATGATGATGCCTCCACCCATTTCAAAAAATAGTCAACAACTACAAGAAATATATTAATGTACGTTCGAAGCTTTAGGATGTATTTGCCCAATTCAATGATAGCTATACCCTAACATGAAAAGGGCCATGGTGAAGTAAAATTATTCACACTAAAAGGCGGCATGTGATAAAGATTTGCAAATATCTGACAGTTTTTGCATGTTCGTACGAACAGGATACAATCACTTTACAAGGTTGTCCAATAATACCCTACTCAAAGATTCTTCCAAGCAAGCATTCTTCCATTCATATGAGGTCCATATTCTCCATTAATCATAATTGTAGGCCAGGTTTCCATTAAAATTTTTATGATAAAATAAACCTTTTAATGTCGTGAAATGAGAAGCTAGCCTTTGAATAGCCAACTGATCTTTCTTGTGGCTTCCCTCAGGATACTCTCCACCGATTAAATACTTTTTAATATTAGTATACCAAGCATCCTCATTATCTTCCCGGGTTAACAGAGCAATTATTGGTTCATAATTAACCACTAGAATTTCTTTTTCTACCATCATTACCAATTGTACCATTACATCATCATCCCAAGTCAAATTCACCGCAAGGTTTGCCAAAGAATCGGTGAAGTTTTTTTTTCTCATGGGGGGAGATGCTTGAATTCTATATCTTCAAAGTATAGGATAACTTGCTGAAGATACTCTATGTACATTTGCAACCTTTCATCCCGAATTTTCCAAGCTCCAATAGTCTAGGAATTTATGAGATAAGAATCAACGTATATTGTGAGATGTTTTGCACTGGCTACTAATGCAGCTTTGATTCCGTAAATGCAGGCTTCATATTCATCCGTGTTATTCATCGTTGCTAGGAAACTAAGCTTTACAATGAATGGAATATGTACTCCACATGGATCAATTAATAATACTCCTGCACCATTGCCCCTCTTGTTAGAGGCTCTGTCAAAGTACATTTTCCATTGTGACGTACTAAGACAGAATATATGCTCATTCTGAAATCATCATCAAAATCATCACCTAATATAGGTCCATTAGCTAAAGCTTCAAATATAGCCTTTCTTTTTTGTTCATGCATTGAATGTCACATTATGACAATATTACATGCCATCTTGCTATTTATCCTTTCACTTAAGATTGGTTTCTCAAAGATATACTTGATTGGATCTAATCTTGAAACTAGATAAGTAGTATGTGCTTGCTGATAATGTTAAAGCAACTTTGTTGCATAAATAAGGGCAATGAAAGCTCTTTCTAAAGGAGTATATCTAGTTTTATACTCAAGGAACTTTTTACTGAGGTAGTAGATAGCTACTTCCTTCCTGGTACCCTCTTGGTATTGTTCCAAAAAAGCTACCATGGTCATTTTCATGATAGTAAGATATAATATTAAGGGTTGCCCCGGTTTCGGCGACATTAAAATTAGAGGGTTGGAGAGGTTTTCTTTCTATCATTCCATTTTGTAGGGACATTTTTAAGTAGCTTGAATATAGGTTCCAATCGGGTTGTCAATTGAGATATATGAACTTATAACTATATTGGATTCTACCAAGAAATTCTCGAATCTCCTTTTTTGTTCTTGGTAGAGGAAGCTCTCGTGTAGCCTTTACCTTGTCAGAGTCTACCTTAATTCTGTCTTGACTTACAACAAATCCCAGAAGCTTTCCAAAGAAACCCCAAATACACATTATTAAGGATTTAACCTCATATTGTATTTCTTAATTTTGTCAAAAATGATTTTAAAGCATTGATGTGAATCTCACGATCATGACTTTTGACAATCATATCATCAATATAGACCTCTACAATATCATGGATGAGATCATACAAAATTGTCGTTGCAGCCCATTGATAGGTAGCCCCTGCATTCTTTTTCTGAAGGGCATTACTCTATAACAAAAGATCCCCCATAGGGTGATAAAAGAAGTTTTCAACATATCCTCTTCTAACATGAGTATCTGATTGTATCATGAGAATTCGTCCATGAATGAGAACATGGCGTGTCATGTAGTGTTATTAACCAAAACATCAATGTGGGGCAATGGAAAATAGTCTTTTGGTGATGCTAAATTCAAATCCCTAAAATCAATGCACACTTTGACCCTTTCATCATTCTTGGACACTACCACCACATTCGCCAGTCAATTCGGATGCTTGATTGGTTTAATGAAGTTGGCATCAAGTTGCTTTTGAATTTCTTCCTTAACTTTGAGACAAACTTTCGCTTTCATTCTACGAAGCTTTTGTTGCTTTGGCTAGCTTTCGGGGTAGAGCTAGAGGCATACGATGTTCAGCAATATCACGATCGACACCAAGCATATTAGTATAAGACCATGCAAATACATCCACATATTCTGTAAGTAAAATAATGAATGCATTTTGTTCATCAAAGGAAAGGGAAGATTCTATCTTGACTTCTTTTACATCACTTTACGTACCCATGTTTACAATTATAGACTCTTCCATGGGTGTCACGCATGATTTAAGTTCATTATTAGAAGATGCATCATGATCAAGATTAATTTCTTGTACCTAAACATGTAACAAACAACTTTTTCGTTGTCTTCATGGTATGAGGTATCGGGCAGTGTATGGATAGATGATTGGCTAGATGATGAGCTATTAGTTTCATGTCCGTCTGAGGTTGAGGATTATTGAAAGGTATGCGGTTAATGAAAGATGATATTGTTGACTATTTATAAAGAACGATTATTGTTGACTATGTTATATGATATATACGTTCGTTAAAAAATATGTATAGTTCGCTGGTGGATATATATTATTTGATAGAGGGTATGTATTTTTTTATTAGGAATATGTGTATAATTTGGCGGAGGATATGTACAGTTTGTTGAAAGATATGTATTATTTGATAGATGATTTATATAACTTAATAGAGGATATCATTATTTCAATAGAGGATATATTTAAGGCAAAAAAGGATATTGTTATTTCAATAAAGAACGTATTAAAATAAAAAAGGAATAAACCAAACGTATGTTAGTGAATATGTATCATTTGTTGGAGGATGTATATTTTTTTATAGAGGATATGTACAATTTGTTAGAGGATATATGTACTATGTTAGATAATATGTACAGTTCGTTAGAGGATATGTATTGTTTGATATAGTTTATGTATAGTTTGTTGGAGAATATGAATAATTTGGTAGAGAATATGTACTTTCTAAGAGGATAATGAGAATTTTCTTTTTGAAAGAAAGATAATAAAAAACTTAAGGGCATGTTCTAATAGACTAAAATCAGCTGAACTAAACTGAACTGAACTGAACTGAAATGAATATTTTATAAGAGAAGGAAATTACGAGCTGAACTGAACTGAGCTGAGTTGAACTGAAATGAACAGAAAATAAACGTATGAGAACAAGCCCTAAGAGTTTAAGGAATAATAATTTTCTGAAATTTAATACTACCAAAAAATCATCATGACGGGTCTCGAGCTTCCACCTTGCACCATAAGCCTCTTCCAACCCAAAAAATCATTATGACGGGTCTCGAGCTTCACCATACGCCTACAAACCAAGAAATAAGAACCAATAAAAGAGAAAACAAGAGAAAATCTACAAAAATGAAGAAAACACAATATAAGCAAGAAATAGAAAAACTAAGGAACAAATGAACAAACTAAGCATATAAAGGGAAAGAAAGCTATTAAAAGAAAGCAAAACATCCTAAAATACTACCATTTGAGTTTCATAATGACACCCATCAATAACTCCGTCACATTGTTACCGGAAATGAGAGGAAAGGTGGCAAATAGATGTCGAAGGCGTAGTGAGGAGAGAAAAAAAAAGTTGAAAATGGTGTCAATTAGAAAAGAGAAAATTGTGAGAAATGACCTTTTAAGTGGTCGACTTTTTTAAAAAGGACCTTTTAAGTGAAAACTTGTGAAAAATGATCTTTTAAGTTGTATTTTGTTTGTATGGGGTACTTGGGTGAGCTTGCATGGTGGTAAACGTCGGAGCTTCGACGTGATGGTCAATGCGGTTAGTCACGTGACTTTTTTTTAATAAAAAAAAATCCCCGAGTTTCCCTCCTTTCCCGACCTATCCCTTTCATTGAATGCTTTGTCTTCAATTTGGGTTAGGTTGGGAAAGGAGGGAAATTTAGGGATTTTTTTTATTTTTATAAATAAGTCACGTGATTAACATGTGATAGTTTGCGCTGGAGCTCTGGCGTTGACAACCACGCAAGCTCACCTAAGTACCCTATACAAACAATATACAACTTAAAAGGTCCTTTTTCATAAGTTTTCACTTAAAAGGTCCTTTTTCAAAAAGTCGACCACTTAAAAAGTCCTTTTTCACAATTTTCTCATTAGAAATTGATTGCAAAAACAAAATTTCGGCATCTAAGAAATTGATTAGTGAAATCGCCAATCAACTTTAGGAATTTAAGAGAAAGGGGGGGGGAATCGTATTGGACATTTAGATAGAGATTAGAGAATAACTGCAAGAAATTCAAGGGTTTCTAGAGTAGCCAACGATGGGGTGTGGTGGTGGTTGCGGTGGAGGGTGGAGGAGAGAGAAAGGAAAAAGCGTTGGGCATATTGTAGTTACTAGTGGATGAGGAATTTTGTGTGATGATGATGTGATTATATTGCCGTTGCTAGCTAGTGAGAACCATATATAATCGATGTGTCACAAACTGTTGCCTCACTGTAGGCGTCGTTCGAAGTGCGCCTACATAAAAGCATGTTGTGAATATGCTTGGCACTCATAGGAAGTGGGAATTGACATATACGATTAAGGACAAAAAAGTAGGGAGCCGCCAACAAGTTTTTAAGGAACTTGTAAACCGTTCACGGATCATAAAAAGGCAACCACGATAAGGGACTACGATAGGCAACAACAATTGACCCTTGAAGTTTACACCCCATTCATAATCCATGAGATTACTAACTCCATATGGTTCGGAACCACGAAAGGAGGATCGGGGATGATGGTACGAAGTGAGTCATGGAGTCACATTCGCCCGTATTGGCCTCTACTCGATTCTTATATTGAAAAGCATTCATGTGATCTCAAAGGCGTACAAACAATAATTCAATTCGCTCCAAACTATTATTTAACTAAATTGGTTTAATATTAATGCACACATAATTCTAAAATATTGGTGATCACTTCAATTAATAATAAGATTAAAAGGAACCTAAACCGGTTGTCCAAATTATCTTATTAGGCGTGGTTTTCAATTACATATTCCCTTTAAACATGCAATATGGTGATCAATAAAAAAATAATAGAATAAAAATTAATATTGGAAGCAATTTAACAATAATAGTGTTAGCCAAATCAAATATAAAATAACCCTAATCATGATACTAGCAATATTAAAAATAAAATAAGAGCAATTAAATTAATTAATTACTCACATTTTGCGCGTTACTTTAAATTGATACATCATAAACAAACTGTTAGTAACTTCATTATTAAAATATAAAGTGAATGAAAATTAAATCAAATAAAAAGTAGAGTTGATTTGGTCCAAACCCTCAGTTATTTGTACCTTTCATGCCTTGGTTTAAGGACGGAACCTCGGGTTAAGTATAGACTCCTTGGAGTGCTTACGGGAATTGTTGTGGAAGAATAAAGAGGCTAGAAATTAGGTTAAAGAGGGAGAAGAGAATGATTTTTGGTGTAAGGTGAGAGAGAATTATTATTGGTGCCCCCGTGTAACACCCCCAAAATTCGAGTCTTTAAAAACAATAAGAGTAACCTTTAACTTTCAAAAACCCAACCATCGAACTCTGGAAGTGTTACTGCTACACTTATTTTCCGTAGAAAATAAATGCAAAGCAAAAATAACATAATGTTTAAAATAACTAAGTGGTCTAAGTTGTGGCAAAATAAAATAGTCATTACATCAAACTGCAATTATTTGAAACCAATAACTGCGAGGAAATAATTAAATTCGGGGATAAACTAAATTGTCTTAGCTACGTGATTATTCTAACGTCTCCTCACACGTAACAATGTACCTTTTCTACCAACCTACAAAATAAATCAGAAACAAGAAAAAGAGAGAAGACTCCCAAAAATCAGATAAACTGAGTAATTCCAACTCCACCCCGTAAAATAAATAAATTTTAGTTTAAAACAGTTTATACATAATATAGTCTCATAAATATTTTAATACTCAACCAAGTTCAAATAGCCACATAAAATATTATTACTTTATTTAAGAAAGGGAAAGAGAACGCCAGTAAGCCGGGACTAGTCTCTGTCACCACCTACTTTACAGAGGGTCGCACGTAACCCCAATTGGCCATAAAATAAAACAGAATGTCCCTAGTGTGCACACCCCTCACTAATACCCAATTATTAGGAGGAAGACTAACAACAATATACAATAATTTAAACCAACTAGTAGCAACCATAACTACTAGTGGGCAACCTGTTCTTCACCCTTTCGGGTTTCATTTCCCTTCTTAAATTAAATTTTACTGTACATCTTATTAGATTATATCATCCAATTACATTGTACACAAGTATTGCACAAATCAATTTAATTTCAAGTATCAATACTTCAATTTCAGTATTATTAGACCATAGTCATCCTACATGACATTATAGACCATCAATCACGTATAATCAATCATCCAATACCCAAGATTATATTTTAAGAAAAAACTCATACGATAACAAATAATGAATTTTTTTTTTTCGAAATTACATATACTAGTACACAAATTAGAAAACTCATATATAATATATGATTCCATAATAGCATACGATAGCACACTCATCACATATGATTACATAAGCACGTATTTGACACATAATATTTCAAAATAATTTCCTAACAAGATTCTAAAGATGATGGACATTGAAAATTACCTTGATCGCGCGTAAAAACTCAAGGTAATTAACCTCCGAAACATTCACCTAGTAGCCTCCGTTTACAAATAAACGAGTCCAAGTTAATTTAGTATACTAATCGAATTAGTTAGGCAACCTCATTAATGCTTGATGCCTATTACTAATACACCACTACGTAAAAAGAAAGGAAGTAGATTTTTTTTGTTTTTATATATAAAAGAGATGTCTACCAACTTTTCTAACTTTGTAGATCAATTACTCATCTAACCCCACCATTGTTGCTCCCCTAAGAATCATCTTACAATTTACAGAAGACCAAACAAAACACCCCCCGCCCTTTTCCTTTTTTTTTCTTTTTAACAAACAAAAATAAATAATAAAAACCATACTCTTTAAAATGTGAATCGGAAGAAGCCATAGAAGTATAACTCAAGGTCAAGGGACGAAGGCGTAATTCGTGGTGGGTTAGCTAACAATTATTATTATCAAGAATGATAGACGAAGAAGAATCATGGCTTACCACTATACTCAGTCAATTATAGTTGGTGTTTTAGCAATTGACACAACTAAGTGATAATAATCGGTTTTGAGGGGAAAAGAAAGCTTCTTGGAGCTAATGTTTTCTCATAGCAACTTGGGTGTGTGAGATTGGGAATTTATAAGCTTAATATTGTGAAGGTAGATTCATCCAGAAGGTCTTCTACAAGATAAGGACTGATTTCAAATAGAATTTGTTTGTTGTTTTTCCTTTTTATCCGATAACACCAATTCTAGAAAATCGGTTTCTCATTTTTTTTTATTTTTTTTTTCAAATACGAAAATTATAATAATAATAATTTTACAACTTGAAAATAATAATTAGTTTTAAAGTTTATTTATTTTTGAAAAGAAATCGTTGACTAAAAAAAATACTCCAAAATTTGGGGTATTACATCTACTCCCCCTTAAAACGAAAGTTCGTCCTCGAACTTTAAAATTAGCTCTCAAAAAGTCTCATGCGAAGATAAAAGATCAGTTAGTATTACATTCTACCCCCTTTAAAAGTTTCGACCTCGAAACTTGGCATACCTGGTCGAAAAGTTCCGGGTAACGTTTTTTCATATCATGCTCAGCTTCCCAAGTTGCTTCTTCAGAATTCTGATTAGACCATAGGACTTTAACTAACTTTACCGCCTTATTTCGGGTACTTCTCGTTTTGGTGTCTAGAATTTTCACAGGGCGTTCTTCGAAAGTTAAGGTCTCATCTAGCTCAATAGACTCGGGTTGGATAACATGGGTAGGGTCATGAACATATTTTCGGAGTTGGGAAACATGAAAAACATTGTGAACGTTGGCTAACTCCATGGGTAAGGCTAGTTGATATGCTACCTCACCAACTCTCTTCAATACTTCATACGGGCCAATGTATCTAGGATTCAACTTCCCTTTTCTACCAAACCGCATGACTCCCTTGGTAGGTGAAACCTTAAGTAAAGCCTTTTCCCCAACTTCAAATTCCACTATTCTCCTATTCTGATCTGCATATGACTTTTGTCGATCCTGAGCTGCCTTCATGTTTGCCTGGATAAGCCTAACTTGCTTCGTTGTTTCTTCAATCATTTTTGGCCCCAAAGTCAAAGACTCACTGATATCGCTCCAACACAAGGGACTCCTACATTTTCTCCCATACACCGCTTCATAAGGTGCCATTCCTATACTCGCATGATGGCTATTATTGTATGAAAATTCTATCATAGGTAATCTTTCGTCCCATGCTCCGCCAAAGTCCATCACACAAGCTCTCAACATGTCCTCCAAGGTCTGAATTGTTCTCTCTGTCTGTCCATCTGTAGCAGGGTGAACGCTGTGCTAAACTTCAGGATAGTGCCAAATGCTTGCTGAAACATTTCCCAGAACTTTGTTAAAAATCTTGGATCTCTGTCTGAAATAATATCTTTAGAAACTCCATGTAGTCTCACAATTTCTTTCACATAGGCAGCTGCCAATTGATTCACATTCCAAGTATCCTTTATTGCTATGAATCTTGTTGTTTTCGTTAAACGATCAACTATGACCCAAATAGCATTCTTTGCTGCCCTTGTAAGTGGAAATCCCATCACAAAATCCATAGAGATAGACGCCCACTTCCATCCTGGTACATCTAACGATTGCAGCTTCCCTCCAAGTCTCATATGTTGTATCTTCACTTTCTGACATGTAAGGCACCTTGCCACAAACTCGGCTACTTCACGCTTCATGTTTGGCCACCAAAAATGTTTCTTAAGATCCTTATAGAGCTTATCTCCTCCTGGGTGTACAGAGTACGGGGTGTTGTGAGATAATTCTAAAATCTTCCTTTTGAGATCTTCATTTTTAGGAATACACCATCTCCCTTTGTATTTCACTGTTCCATTATCATCTACATCAAACTCAATTGTCGCTCCTTCTTCTTTCATCTTCCTCACCTTGGTCAACCACTCATCTAACATTTGCTTCTCACGAATCTCATCATGTATGGTAGGTTTGACTGACATTGCATTCAACTGAGCGTTCACTTGGTCATACTCTACAACCTCCAAGTTTAACTTCCTAAATTCTTCACAAAGTTCCTTGGCTAAAATCATCAAGTTCACTATATGAGTTGTCTTCCTACTCAAAGCATCAACTACCTTGTTTGCCTTTCCTTCGTGATACAGAATGTCTGGGTTGTAATCGGTTAACACCTCAAGCCATCTCCTTTGCCTCATGTTCAAATGAGTCTGTGTGAATATGTATTTAAGACTCTTATGGTCCGTATACACCTTACATCTCACACCATACAAGTAGTGTCTCCAGATCTTGAGAGCAAACACTACCGCTCCTAGCTCCAAATCATGAGTAGGGTAATTCTGTTCATGTTGCTTGAGCTGCCTTGATGCATAAGCTATAACCTTCCCATGTTGCATAAGTACACACCCAAAGCCATTCTTAGATGCGTCACTATAGATTTCAAACCCTTCAGTCCCTGATGGTAAGGTTAAGACTGGTGCTGAGGTGAGTCTTCGCTTCAATTCTTGAAAAGATTGCTCACACCTCTCATCCCACTAAAACTTAGTAGTTTTCTTCATCAAATTTTTCAAGGGTTGAGCTATCCTCGAAAAGTCTTGTACAAATCTCCTATAGTATCCAGCAAGCCCTAAGAAACTTCTCACTTCGGTCACACTTCTGGGTCTTGGCCAATCAAAAACTGCCCGAATCTTGGATGGGTCCACCGCAACTCCTTCCTTTGAGATCACATGGCCTAGAAATGCTACCTTCTCTAGCCAAAATTCACATTTTGAAAATTTGGCATATAACTTCTCCTTTCTAAGAATCTCCAACACTTTTCTTAGATGTTCTTCGTGCTCTTCTTTATCCCTCAAGTACACCAAAATATCATCTATGAACACCACCACAAATTTATCTAAATATGGCTGAAAAGTTCTATTCATGAGATCCATAAAAGCTGCCGGCGCATTAGTGAGTCCAAAAGGCATAACAATGAACTCATAATGTCCGTATCTTGTGCGAAATGCTGTCTTTGGTATATCTTCCTCAGCAATCCTCAACTGGTGGTATCCTGTCCTTAAATCAATTTTTGAGAATATCCCAGCACCTTTAAGCTAATCAAACAAGTCCTCGATCCTAGGCAATGGATATTTGTTCTTTATAGTGACATTATTCAACTCTCGGTAGTCAATACACAACCTTAAGGATCCGTCCTTCTTTCTCACAAACAAAACCGGTGCTCCCCAAAGATGAAACACTTGGCCTTATATAACCCTTCTCCAGCAACTCCTCCAACTGTACCTTCAACTCTTTATCTCTGCTGGTGCCATTCTATATGGTGCTTTAGAAATAGCTCCAGTCCCAGGCACTAAGTCTATTTTGAAATCCATCTCCCTAACCGGCGGCATCCCTGGAATTTCATCTGGAAACACATCTTGGAATTCTCTCACCACTGGAATGTTCTCTATGGATTTCTCTTATACACTCACATCTTGCACATGGCATAAATAAATAGGGTATCCCTTTCGGATATAAGAATGAAAAGTCATGGCTGACACAATACTGATCCCTGGTTTTGACACAACCCCCTGGTAAGAGATTCTATTCCCTCTTGGCCCCCTAAGAGACACCTTTTGGGTATGACACCCAATTCTAGCCTTATATTTACTAAGCCAATCCATCCCCAATATCACATCAAAGTCAGTTAAGTCAAACTGAATAAGGTTTGCAAGCAACTCAGTTCCAACAATGTTAACTGGAATGTCTTGGTATAGGGATCTACAAGGAACTACCTCCCCTGAAGGAATTGTTATATTGGTTTGACACAAGGATGAAGGTTTTAAAGCATGCTTATTCACGAAAGAAGTGGCGACAAAAGAATGAGATGCCCCAGAATCAAAAAGTAAATAACCAGGTTTTGAGTTCACGAGAAAAGTACCCGTCACAACGTCGGCATTAGAGTCAATCTCGCTCTGGTTCATGACATAGATTCTTCCATTACTGGTCCTACCATTGCCATTGTGGTTGCTTCCTCCGCCATTGTTGTTGCTTTGGCCATTCCCTCCTTGAGCATTTCCATTTTGGCCCTGAGAATTGTTGTTGTTGAAGCGGTTGTTGTAGTTTGAGTTCCTCCCATAACTACCTCCCTTGTTGCCATTGTTGTTACCTTTCCCATTCTGAGCTTGATTATTTCCATTCTGCTTCTTTGGGCACTCAAATTTCTTGTGACCAACCTCCCCACATTCAAAGCAAGTAAGCAAATCTTCATTGCAGTTGCGTCCTGGATGGCTCTTGTCACATTTACGGCATGGTCGATTGCGAGATCCTTGCTGATTCTGTTGTCCCTGGCCCCGGTGGTTGTTGCTTTGATTGTTGTTGTTACGGCCTTCCTGCTGACCATTTCCACCATTCCCATTGCTATTACCCACTAGGCGTGGTCTCTTGTCATAACCTTGAGGGTTCGATGAACTCTCACCATTTCCTTTCCTCTTATGCCTATCCTTGACCTCCTATTCACGTTTCAAAATCCTTTCAATATTACAAGCTCTATCATAGGCCTCTTTATAAGTAGCAGCAGTACCAACCCCGATCACCTTCTTTTGGATCCTAAAAGTCAGTCCATCTTCAAACTTCTGAGCCTTGGATCTCTCATCAGGCACTACATTAGGACAAAACCTTGCGTACTCATTAAATTTCTCAGCATACTCCTGCACACTCATACTAGCTGTTTGGTTAAACCTACTAAACTCACTGTATTTATGCCTCTTGATATGCTCAGGAAAGAAGTGATTCCTGATTGCTGTCTTAAAAGCCTCCTAGTTAAAATTCTGTTGAGCTCTTATGGTGGCTGCTTCATTTTCCCACCAAATATCAGCAGCCTCACGTAAATAGAATGTGGCTTGATCCACCTTCTGAGCATCAGGGGTACCAGCAGCAGTGAAAATCTTGTCAAAGTCACGTACCCAGTTCTCAACCAACATGGGATCTTCCTTCCCCATAAATAGCGGAGGTTTCAATGCAACAAGTTTCTTAGCCATAGCAGCTTGAGGGTCGTTGTCATTATTATTGTGGTTGTTGTTGTTATTCAGCTGGTTTTGCAACAACATTCCAAGGTTCTAATTCATTTGCTCAAGAGCTCTTAACCTAGCAGCAAGTTGTTTAGGAGTCTCAGCCATTTGTGCAATTCTTCTCCAACGAGACATGGTGTAAACGTGGTAATTTTGCATACACAGTATGCACAATTTCATCACTGCTGTTACCACCATACACATTTTAACACGACTTATTTAGATCGTGTGAATTGCAATTAAATCATCAACCACGACATGCTTTCATGTAACACATCAGCACATATAGAGACAAGAATTAAGCGATGTATTAAATCTCATAGAATTCAAAGAGTCGGCCAAATTCCAAACCAAATAATGCATCAACTTAGCATTAGACTATAAATTCGCGCATTGCTTTGTGATTTCACTATCACCCGACCAAGTCATTACTAGTTTTGACTAAAGTAAGCATAAGAAAATAAGAGCTTTGGCCTATATAAATACAATAGATAGAAAAAAAAAAGAATTGATTTTGATTAATAATCATAAAATAGCAAGGTAAAAATATATTAATCAAAATTATTTTGTTGCAAAACCAGAAGAGAATGAAACCCGTCTTTGAAATAAAATACTAGTACTAAATAGCTCAATAAACTACTAGTTACAAATAAACCAAAACTATAGTTTCTAGTCATAAGAAACTAGCTTTTGTTTGTAAAACTAATATATAAAAATTTTAACCAAATAAACTAAACGTAGCTTTAAAAAAAAATAAATGGATAATTCAATTACTATTTTCCCCTTGACTCTCACGAGCTTCACTTTCCTGGGGCTCATCCTCCTCCTCATCATCCAGGTTATAGTCAAAGTCTCGCTTGGCTTCCATCATTGCCTTCTCAAGGTAGTCCACAGTAGGGATCCATTGTTCATCATAATAATACTTATCATTCGGTTTACCATTAATGTATAAGTCAACATACTTCTTTGTAAGTTGAGGATAGGGTCCCTTCCCAATTAACGTGTGCAGAAGGATTTGAGATCGCCTCTCTGGAGTGAGATAATCAGATTGGCCCCCAAGTATATTGTAATGAAAGTGCTCAATGCCGAGATTTAAGTGGTGCACGTAATGTCGAA